CACTCTAACCACTGTTAACCTTCCCACCAAAGTGATTGAGGCATTTTTATCTTAGTAGAAGGACTCGGCTCTTATGATGACCAGCAGGAGTTGAAAACTGTGTGCCAAAATTCAGAGAATGGTTGCATTTTCGCTAAATCATAGGCTTGTATGATTTAGCACCTAAGAGCCAAGGTGGCACAGTGGTTAGAGTGCACTACTGCAGTCTACTTCAGCTGACTGCTAGCTGCAGTTTAGCAGTTCAAATCTCACCAGGTTCCAGGTTGGCTCAGCCTTCCATCCATCCAAGGTGGTAAAATGAGGACCCAGATTGTTGGGGTCAATAGGCTGACTCTGTAAACTGCTTAGAGAGGGCTGTAAAAGCACTGTGAAGTGGTATATAAGTCGAAGTGCTATTGCTATATTCAGCTGAAGTTTTAGACCAGTGTTTCTCAACTTTGGTACATTGAAGATGAGTGAATTTCAACTCCCAGGATCCTCAGCAGTATCTGTGCTGGCTGTGGAATTCCGGGGCTGAAGTCCATATACCTGGAAATTGCAAAGCTTGGGAAATCCTATATTAGAACCTAGGTGGATGAGTTACCCAATGAAATAGTTTTAAAGAAACTCTTTTCTTAATATACAGGTAGTCTGTACTTAATGATGGTAATTGGGACTAGTATTTCTGATGTTAAGTGATGTGTTTGTAAAGTCTCACGCCATGTGACCTTGTCACTTAGTGATGGAAATTCCAGCACTTCTGATTGCTGTTGTTAAGCAAAGGCAAAGACTGAGACCGACATAAGTATGAGGACTGGCCAGTTCTACCACTTATTCAGCACGACCAGAAGTTCAAATGGTTGTCGAACAAGCGGTAGTTAAACAGGGGAAGATGCTTTTGAGTTAGCCATTTATCATGGCACACTCATTTTCCACGTGTTGAGAAACTGGAGGAAGGAAGGGACATTCAGATACAAGGCTGCTTCTCTGCAGCCTTGCAAAAGTGACGATGATTCGTGCCCTTTTTTTTTATAAAAATGCAGTTACATTTTATAAACAGATTTGCATTTTAATTAATTAAAAATATTTTTATATATACAACGAGACAAGCGCACCTTTGACGAACTGGAAGTATTTTGCGGAATTACTTTTCACCTCATTCCTGAGTGGATGGTCTGATCCGGGATGCAGGTGTGGGATTCTACCAGTTTGGACCAGTTTGGGTGAACCAGTTCACTCTGGCTTTCGGCTCAGCCCGCCCACCTGCCCCTCTGCTATACTCACTGACCGTATTTTTCAGAGTATAAGACGCACCTTTTTCCCTCAAAAAAGAGGCTGAAAATCTGGGTGCGTCTTATACACTGAATACAGCATTTTTTTGCTTCCCGATACCCCGCCCCTTCACCAAAATGGCCATGCAGAGCCTTTAGGTGGCTTGCAGAGTGCTCCTGGGGGTTGGGGAGGGTAGAAAGTTTGCCCTCCACCCCCCAGCTCCCAGGAGCACTCCTAATGCCCTTTTTTGACAAAAACGGGCCCATTTTTGCGAAAAATTGGCTGTTTTTTGCTCGTTTTTCACTCCCCCCAGGAACACTCTACAAGCCTCCTAAGGGCTATTCATGCCCTTTTTTTGCAAAAAAAACCCCGGGCCATTTTTGGGTGGTTTGCAGAGTGCAAAAACTTTTTTAAAAATTTGCCTCTTCAAAACCTTGGTGCGTCTTATACTCCAGTGCGTCTTATACTCTGAAAAATACGGTATATTCCCTTTTCTGAAGCCCAGCTGACAGGTGCAGCATAGTGGATTGCTGCACCTCGGCTGTTTTCCTCCCCAGCAGTAATGCGGAAGTTAACTTCTTTGTGCTTGCGTGCACGCACCCAGCGAACCGGTTGTTAAACCGGTAGGGTCCCATCCCTGTCCAGGAGGTTGGTAGTTGAGAGAACGGAAGGCAGTTATGTGATGCTGGCAAAGGCAGAAACACAAGAGAGAATTTGTGTGTTTGAGAGAGAGGAAGTGGGGGCAGTTGCGATACAAAGGACAACCATGGAAAAGAACCTACCGCCATTCCAAGTCTTCAAAAGCAAGATTTTGTCTTTGTTTTCTTCCTCTGCCAAGTTGAGATCATAGCCGGCACACTGGGCATTTTGGAAACGGGACAAAAAGAAGCAAAACTGAGCGGAAAATAATGCAGGTAGTCCTCAACATATAAGCCTTTGTTTAGTGACTGTTTGAAGTTGCAACAGCACTGAAAAAAAAGCGACTTGCGATCGGTCTTCACACTTGATGATCGTTGCGGCATCCCCAGGGTCACCGGATCAAAACCGGGCTTGGGTTTATGACAGTGGCAGCTTCCCAGATGGCTTCCAATGAGCAAAGTCAGAGGTGGTGACGGAAACCAGATTTGCTTAACGACCACATGATTTACTTAAGAACTTCAGGGATCTGCTTGACAACTGTGTCAAACAAAAATGTCATGAAGTAAAGCATGGCTCACTTAGCAATCGCCTTGCTTAGCAACAGAAATTCTGGCTGGCCCCAATGGTGGCCTCAAGTCTACCTGTATTTCTTTCCGAAGGAATATAAAGCAGCTGTTAGATAACATTCCTAAAAATGAGCTTTTCCAGAACTGCAGTAAAATGATCACTGTCGCCTCTCATGCTGGCAAGGCTGATGAGCAATTCCCCCCATCTACTATCGGGGAAAATCTCAGAAAATGTAGATACTTTTTAGGTGACAGCGGTCCTTGTGTTTCTTTATCTCCTTAAGCCCTTTTTTTCATTTTGCCTTGATTAATTGGGTTGTGCCCAAGTATTTAACCCTGAAAGATGTCAATCTAGATTTTGGAAGCACACAGAAGTGGGGAGGGGTTGGCTTTAAAGTGTAAAAGAAATATTAACTATGCTTGCATATATGATTTTCTTCCCTCTCTCACTGACCTGCAACCCTGTGAAAAAGGTGTTCTCCCACCTAATTTCTCATTTCATATTCTGGAATTAGAAAAGCAAATAATGGGAAAATCAGGATTACTGCTATTAAAAGATTACATTTAACAGTGATTTTTGGATAACGGAATAATCACCGTTTCTCATATTGGTGACCTTGTGGGAAATATACTAAGCCATAATTGGCTTT